GCTGATGTTGCTGTGCCAAAAAAATATTCTGGCAAAGCGGGTAAAACAAGGCAGAATCATAGGAGGGCAATGGGTGGCACTCAGGAACACACGAACTAGCCACTGCATTCACTGTGAACAATATGCATCTGCATTCTGTCATGCAGGTCTGTATCTGCATTAGGTCTATGTTTCTTAAAGTGACATCACTGTCATGTGAAAAAGCCTTCATCGACCTGATGCCCGCCATTTCCCAAGGGTTAGGCTGCAACCCCCAGGCTAACTGGGGAATGCTGGCAGCTGCAGTCTAATGCATCTGAGGTTGGGGACAGATGAAGGAGTATTTAGAGCCAAACTCGACATAACAGAAGCAGTCTGATGTGCTTTACCATGAAACTGCACCAATCACATAAAGCAGGATGGGGTATTTTGAAAAGAAAAGATTTGTGTGTTCTGTTCTGTTCTTTGTTTTTGTCATAGTAGTCTTTAAGGCAAAAAGGCGATGCACCTTTTGCACTTTTTCCTGAGCCTAAATGTGCAGGCCATGCCCTTCTCTGCATCCCTTTAAATTGGTTCCATCCCCCCCTAGAAAAAACAATGGGTTTGCTGCCCTCAGACATGCCATGAAAGTTCTTCTGGGTTCACATGACACAGCAAACCATTGTGGGTAGCAAGCCACAGTAGGTTGTCATATCATGGGAAGCCAGTCATTATCTTCCTAATCAGTGCAGCAATTACCATTATTCACTGAGTACTGAAATCCTATATGTTTATGTGTGTGTGACCCATTTGGGTTTTCTGAGAAACTCTTTCCTTCGTGGAAAAAATTGCATCATGTGTTACACATACATACAAGCTTCAAATGTGATGATGTCTAACAATGTAGAAAGAGCAAATTAGCTGTAATTATTTTCTGCAAGATTCTGGCAAAGTCTGAGCTGAGCTTTCTGACTTTGGGTGGCACACTCCAAAGAACACCCAGCAGTTTTATGCATTGATCCCCATTTGTTCCTGTTTTCTCTGCAGCACTAAATATAATTAATGTTGCCTTAATAGAGTGGCAAGACCTATTGATTTAGCAGTCATCTTGCTAACTTTGCACAGTTATGATGGATGACTTAGAGTTATGATTTTTTGGTAAGTGTTGCATTCATTTTATTTCCACATTGGGTCTTTCTCTGGTTGCTTTTAATCCTTCTCTAAATCTAACTTTATAATTGGCCTTTCCTGTTCAACCTCATTTACTTTTGTGAACAAGCTTTATGTGCATTTGCTTGGGGGCAAACTTGTTGGGAGCAAGGTGCAATGGTTAAGAGTGAGTGACTGGGACTAGTCAAGCTGGTTGTAGTCCCCACTCAGGCATGGAGCCAGCTGGGTGGCTTTTGGCCAGCCACAGTTCTCAGCCCAACCTACCTCACAGGGTTGTTGTGTGAGGATAAGAGTGAGAGCAGGAAGGAAGAGAATGGTGTAATTTGCTCTGAGTTCATAGGAAAAAAGCAGGATATAAATGAAATAAATAATAATAAATATTTTGCCTTTGTAACTTGGTAAGGTGCTATAATAATGGCATTCTATTAAATTTTTTTAAATAGTAGCCTTGTGAAAACAGTAGTCAAAATGAGCACAGGTTTCAAAGGAAATCTTACTTTCAAGTCAAATTTAGGTTGCCTGTTACAGGCTGTAACCACAGAATGGTCTTATACTACCTGAGAAAATACTGGTAGAGCACCTTGCATTAATTCCTCTTAGGAATGTCCACATTATTGTCAAATTGTATTGTGTGTGTATTTAAACTGGTTTTTAAAGGAGTATGTTTGAATGTAAACCACAGAGGGACAATCTCAGGGCTTGAGACAGTATCTGAGGGCCGTAGAGTACTCTGAGATCACTCTGTCCTCAGAGTGAGGCAGTGGAGGTCCAGCCCCGCTTCTCTTAGCAGCTGCCTAAGGATGGAAGCTTGACCTTGATGAAGCCACCTTGGGGCATTTCCAGCATCATTCCCTCCTGCTCCAACACACCTGGCTACACAGGCAGCAAATCCTAGCTAGTCAAAAGAGGTAGTGTGGGAGGGAGGTAAGACCATTTCTGCCACGCCATCCAATCTGCATTGGGTGCTTGTAAGCTTCTGAGTACAATGGCTTATGATCATCAAAGGTGCAAGCCATGCCATCGCACCCTTTCAGGTTTTATTATATTAAGTTCTACTATATTCAACGGTAGATAAATATTATCAATTAATCCATTTGACAAGAAGACATTGTGTCCATGAACCACAGCAATTAATGATGATGATGACTGCTGTAGATGAAATGCCTTGTGGAATGCGTCGGGAAAAGCTAATCATGAGAAGGGGTTCCCCCAGTCATTCCACTGAGTAATAGAGCTTCCTTCCCAGGCATAGTACTTGTAACAGCTTTGTATGTGCATTTTTGCAAGGTGCTTTCACATCACACAAAGAGGTTACCTTGCTGATCTCCAGCTACGTGCCTCTAGAAGCAGCAGGATAATGCTGTAGGCAGTCATTTGTGAGGAGGTTTGACTTACTTCAGGAAGAGATGGTAATTCTACTTCTGTGATGGACAGGTCAGGTTCTGCCTTTTCCCTTCCTGAGGGTCCCGAGACAGTCGCAGCACGGAGAATATTGGCCAAGGGAAGAAAGCTATGAAAGACAATTTAATTTCATACAGGTTTGGGAAAACATCTAGTGTCAGAATTAGAATTGGAAGGAGAAGCTGGAAGGCAAAGCTGTGTAGAATACTTCCTCGGCCTGGAGTTGAAAAATTGGAATGGTTATAAAATAGGCAGGCACCTGAATGTTTCATTTGTTTCCATCAGTAGAAATAAACTCATTTTGTTGTACAGTTAACCCTTGCTATGAGAGCGGAAAGGAACTAAAGAAAGGAATGCACACATCATTGGGGGCAATCTCAGTGGAGAAAGAAGGTGACAGAAGGGGAGAAAACTGATTCAGGTCATTACCCTGCTTAGCTTGAGGCTGTTGGAGCTGAAGTCTTGTGGTGAGAGGGCAGAGTGTCTCTGGAAACATCTGGTGTCTCTGAGGGACTGGAAAGGGGAGTCAGAGTGTAAAAATCTGAGCGGTTCCCGTGCAGGTGACAGGCAAGTGGAAGATACCCATGGGGAACATAGTGACCTGGGAGCAGGACCTGAATATGAAGGCCTTAGCATGAGCAGAGGAGTTGTATACAAAACAGATACAGATGTTTAAATATGGATAAAACCAACTACGCATTGTTTCCCCAAGGGTAGCGCAGTGGGTGTGTCAAATCTTCCTTTCTCATGGAAGGCAGCAGCTGTTGCAAAATACCAAAATAAGCCAGGAGCACATGAGCTACATTTCTTGAGAGTGCTGGCAAAGGCATGCCTACCATCATGGATTAGCATCTACTGCACTAATCAGCACCTTCCACACCTTTGCCTTCCTCCTGTTATCTTCTCCTGACCAATTTTGCCTGTTTGGGCTGATGTGGAGCCTTGCTCAATATTTGCCTTCTACTTGTTATTTTTCTGACATGCCCTTTTCACTTAGGACTTTACAATAATCTGTTTCTGACTATCTTTATTGCCTCTGTAAAGAATAATAGCTAATTACTGGAATTATTGCAATAAACAGATTTATCAAATCATTTGCCTTGACTTTGGGAAGTGAGGAAAAGACAGCCTCTGGAAGTTGAGTGGAAGGGGACAAACAATAGACAGTTAGGGAAAATCGCAGTCCTTGCAAGAGTTTGTAGGATGCGTCTTCCCCCTAGAATCTACCTAGGGGATAGTGTTGCTTTCCCCTGCTACAGGAAGCCATTGGAAAGTTTCAATGGCTAGATCAGCTGCCAGTAAACCAATATGCAGCAAATTGCACTTTTAACAGCCAATCCACCCTTACAATATGGGAAGGAATAGTCTGGAAAAGAAAGGTTCTAGAATTGGTTGAGTGTTCAGGTCTGAGCAGCAGCAAGCATTGCAACAGAAACAAAACTGAGCAGCAATGCAAGACTTCTGGGGTGGGTGGACACACCACATATTGATGTATACTCAGAAAAACAAATTTTAGTGGGTAACTGTCAAAGTGTAATTTTTGTGTTTTATAGGCTTGCTAAAGTGCCTTCCTAACCCAGTAAGTTCACACATGTAAACTTTTTGTCTACTTAACTTGGCCAGCCTGTTCAAGGTAACTTTAATTTAGAAGGCCTGTCAAAGGTATCTAATTAGAGTGAAATGTAACCTTGAGGGAGTTTTAACCCAGCAACAAGCCACAGGTTCCTGCAATGTTTATAAAAGCAGGAATGAAATGGAAGTGGCGAATGGGCAGAACGCAGGGTGCTCACTTGCTTTCCGCTGATAATCCATTTCTATTTATTTATTTATTTATTTAAAACATGTTTTTATCCCATCCTTCGCGATAAAATGCCTCTGGATGGCTTACAATAGTTAAAATAGTAATACAGTGGTACCTCGGCTCACGAACGCCTCAGTTCATGACCAAATCAGATCGCGAACAAAAATTTCATAAAAAATTTGACTCAAGTCGTGAACTCCACATTGGGTGGCAACTGTGATCATGACCATCTCCCCACCCCCCTGAGTAGGGAGACGGCCGCGATTGTACTGGGGGTGGGGAGGAGATGGCCGAGATCGCGCCCGTCTTTCCTGCACAAGTGGAACTACAATCTCGGCCATCTCCCCCCCAGCACGCCTGCGTTTGTGCCCGTCTCTCCCCCGCAGTGCGTCGGGATGATGGGCACCTGCAGGGATGACAGGCATGATCGCGGTTGTGCTAGGGGAGTGGGGAGATGGCTATGCTCATGCTCGGGGTGGTGGGGTGGCCGCAATCTTTGTTGTTCTTTGTCACTTTGCTTCACGTTTTTCTGATTAAAAAAGTTACAGAATGGATTAACCTTATTTACATTGAACCTTATGGGGAAATTTAACTTGGCTCACAACCAATTTGGGTCACGACCAGAGTCCTGGAACAGATTAAGTTCATGAGCCAAGGTACCACTGTATAATAATACAATAAAACAATAATTAAAACATTAGATAATAAGCACAACATAAAACAAACACTTTCAAAAAAACTAAAGAAAAGGAAGAAAGGAAGAAAAAAGAAAGAACATGTGACTGTGATCAGATCTTAAACCATCTAAATCCTTAATTATTAAATCGATGGCTAAATAAAAAGGTCTTTATCTGGCGCTGGAAAGAATAAAGAATTGACGCCAGGCGGACCTTTCTGGGAAGCACATTCCATAGGCTGGGTGCCACTGCAGACAAGGCCCTCCTCCGGGTAGATACCCTCCATATTTCCTTCAAAAAGGGTTCCCGGAGCAAGGACTCTCCTGCCGACCTTAAGGGGTGTGAGAGCATGTAGGGAAGGATACATTTCTTCAGGTATCCTTGTCCCAAGCCATTAATCAATTAATTATATTTTATAGAATGTGTGCATGGTATTAATTATATTTATAGAATGTGCGCATGGTATTAATGATATTTTATAGAATGTGTGCATGGTATTAATTAATTATATTTTATAGAATGTGCACATGGTCTGTCATTATGCAGGTCTAAAAGTTGCTGGTGAAAATGGTTCCAGAAGAAAAGTCAAGGGCAGACCAAGTGTTAAGCATCCCTCCATCTGGCTGGCCTTGTCCCCTGTGCAATACCTCATCCTGCTGCTTTACATGGTAGCGGCAGACAGTAACTCAAATACTGCAAAATGCCATGAGCCTCTAGTGACCAAAGAAAACCAAGTGTAGGTGAGTGTGGCATCCCTGGGACTTCACTTTGCTCAGAAATATGTGGGTGCATCACCTGCTTAGGTCCCAGGTTTTGTTAAATCCAAACTTGTGGCTTGGTAGAGTTGAAACACAGGTCATAAAAGGCTCCTTAGATGTATAATGAAGCAGATAAAAATAGCAGTGAGGAAAAACAAATGAATGCAGAGTATCACTAAATCAAGTATATGAAATGCACTAGGGGTGTGTACAGCCTGGGGCAGGCCCAATTATTGCTCCACCAAATAAAAATTCTGTTTGCATGAATGGACACATATTTGGTTACTCTACATGGATAAGTTTACAAAGAAAGTTGCTGAAAAGAATGATGTAGTTATAGACAAACCATGTCTATAACTAACAAATGCTATAAAATTAGTTCTAAAGCCATCATGACTCTCAGTGCAGAGAAAACAGCCTTTATGTTTCTAGCTGGTGACAGCATGAATAGCATGACTGATTAAAGATAAATACTTAAGAGTGAATATCCCGTGACATCCACTAATTACAGAGCTGGGCAGGGATTTAAAGAGGTTGCTCACATGTATTTATTTACTTTATATCCCACCATATTTTTCTAACAGAAAAGCTTAAGATAGCTAACCAAATGCTTGCCACTGCACATATATAAACAATACATTTACCACGTAAAAGTTTCAATTAATAATTGGTACCACACCAGAGAGCCTTGTGAATTTTACTATCAGGTCCTGACTCTCTATTATCTTTTGTATTTAGGTAAAAATATATTAGGGACATAAATTTCTCAGAAATCAGTACTATCTGGGCTTGCTTATTCAGTAAATATAGTACAGAATGCTGCTAAGAAGTTTCGATATCCACTGGTCCTCTTCCAAGGAGGCCATTGTTGGACTCATGCCTAAGCCACCCTTAGAAAAAGCCACAGTGGGCTGCGGGCTTGCCACTCCCACCAGACTCACGCACTCAGTGGCTTCCTACAGTTTCTTTCTCCCTCAGTCCCTTTCTGTCCTCCAGGCTGCAGCCAGCATGTTTTCCAGGGGCCTTTGGGACAGAAAACCTTTCCTTGTCCCCTTACATCAGGCCTGGATCTAGGTAGTGAAAGCAGGAAGGACCCCAGCAGGTAACTTAACACACACAGCTGCTTAAACAAATAAATAGCCTGCTAGGGGACAACCCCCACCCCCATATCTCCAGAGCCAAATTTCCCTATATCATCACCCTTTCTGATACTGGTCTGCTGAAGTTGCTGGCCAAAAAGGGAAACTTTCCTTCCTCCCTGCATCCGAACTCACAAAGGAAATAATTTTCTGAACCTGTGAAATGTGGGAATGTGTTTGCAAGCCATTTTAAATATTGAGGTTTTGCACACTATCACGTGCCTGCTATTTAGCCAAGCATACTTGTATTCCCACCTTTTAACAGTCTGCTTTACACTGAAGCGGCAACGCACACTTCTAAAGCACCGTCACCTCTGCTACTTTCAGCCCGTGCCCTTGTCAATTTCATTCTCCACTTTGACATTTCTCTTCCTAGTGAACATATTTAGTTCAAAGGTGTCTTTTATTTCTTTTTTGCAATCAGAGGGGCAGCGGGTAGTTTCCCTCCTCAGCTGAGCATTTCAGGAGACCAGTTGCAGGAAAGGTGCTTCCCCTCCTAGCAAACACCTGCTACTTTTAAAGGCTGTTGCATAACAGAATCCTAAAAGATGCTAAAGCAAGTGCAACTGCCCCCAAAGCTCTTTCTTTCTTGCCACTTTTGATCTATCCCGCCCTACGCCAGATTTGTGCCTGCCTCTGGGCTCTGTTGCTACCTGACAAATGTACGTGAGAGTTACAGAGCCATGAGCAGGACTGCAAATGTTACAATAAATTCATGGCAGGGTAGTGGAAGCCAGGGAGGGTGGGTTGTGCAAATCTCATGGTGAGGCAGAAAAGCAGAGGCATATGAAAAAAAATTATGAAAAAAATCCTACAAATGGTCAAGTTGTGAGAACCCAGATTCAGGTGGGATATCAGGAAAAGCGTCCTCACTGTCAGAGCAATAAACAGTGGAACCAGCTGCCCAGAGAGGTGGTGGGCTCTCCCACACTGGAGACATTCAGAAGGAAACCGGACAGCCATCTGAGTGGGATGGTGTAACTTGGTGTCCTGCAACAGCAGGGGGTTGGACTCGATGGCCTTCATGGCCCCTTCCAACTCAACTATTCTACGATTCACTCTTATCCAAATCCACAGTACCTCACTGTGCCTTTGCATGATGTGTGAACTCAGTCAGAATCTTGAACTAGATAGATCCATGTTCTAATGCACTTGAGTCAGTTCTTCTCTTCTCAGAGTTATCATGCAATAATATCTGTTGCCAATCACCATAATGCAAGGACAATATATATAGTCGAACAGTTTGATTGCTTTCCAGTGCCAAAACATGATACACCCAATGTGGGCAGTGGATTCAAACAATTGACATTGGCTGGTTATGACTGTAGACTACTGGAGAAGCAAATAAATGGGTAATTATTGGTTTGTATGGTACTCAAAAGTTGGGTTCCACCAAAATGACAGTGAGTGGCTAGATACTGCTCTCATTCATTCCATAAGGATATTTGTCTAACGAAACGACAGAGTAATTGTTTCATGCAGATTAGATAATGAAAAGCATGGGAGAATACTGACTGATGTTCCTTCAAGCATTTCAGAACCCACTTCCTTATTTACCACACAGAAGTGACCTCTGATACTTTTGCTATCTGCAAAATCAGCAATTGTCTTATCCTGGATAAGTATCTGTCTACACCACAAATTTATATATGTGTTTATTACCATTTATCTGCCATGGAATCCTGAGCTGTAATCTTATAGGGGTTCTGTATTAGAGATCCATACTTTCTTCAGAAAACTACAATTCGCAGGATTCTTTGTGGAGAGAGGCCAACTTAATCCAGGTGATTTAATGGCGTTACACCTACATACATTTTTCCATTCATCTTTTTTTTCTCAACTTTTCTGGCATGAAAGATTATTTGTATCCTCTTGCACTACTTGGTTTCCTTTGGCATATCTTTATGAAACAACCAGAGAGGTTGAGCTGCTCAAAGGAGATTAAAAACAATTTCATAATACACTTGAAATGGAATGTACTAGAAACAGGAAATGCAAAACAGTGGACTGCATCCGGACTGAGGCAGCAGCCCTGTGCACTTCTGGAACGGCACTCTTAAATAATACATTCAAAAGGTGCTCAGACTGACTTCAGTGGAGTTTTTTCCCAGTCAAAGGATTTCAGGATTAACTGAACTTAATTGCACTGAACTTTTCAGTACACATGGATATGATTGTGGTAGTTGAACTCAGTTCCCATTGAACTCTATGGGACTGAAGTTGTTATATCAAACACATTCCACTGATTTCAGTGGGAACTGAGATCAGCTAATGGGTTGCAGGAGCGATGAGGCTGCTCTGCCATCACTTCTACAGCATTACTGGGAAGGTTGTCTTGTCCCGCTCCTCTTTTTGTTCCAGGCAGAGCAGGGTTTTTTTTTTTTAAAGATTGCTCAGAGGAGGACATTTTCTTATATAATCCATTTTTTAAAAAAGAAACAGGTGGCATACTGTCTGCAGAATTTGGCCTACATTCTCAGACACACAGGAAAGTGAGCATCACTGATTACAGTGGTATTTCAATTAAGCAACAAATTTCACAATTAGTCAGGATCCATGGGCAAACAACAGCTCAGTGATTGATAAAACACATGCTGGATGAGGCTCTCAGTTTTGCTTCTTGCTTTTCTGTTGAAGGAGCTGCAGTTCTCCAGACCAAGAAACAAAAAAATCAACAGCCCTGGTCAAATCAAAGTTTTATAACTACCACCAAAAGGACCAGACACACGATCTAGAAGAACTATTGTTCTTGACTTAATAGAAGGAGGTACTTTTTAAAACTCTTAACATAACCCTATACACATTTACTCAAGAGTAAGTCTGCTAACTAGTAAGTCTGCTAACTAGTAACTACTAACATTAACCCAAGAAACAACTCTAACCTAAGATATCTGACCCTGTACTATAAATAATATCTAAGTTTAATATCACTTTGAATGCCATGACTTTCTCCAAAGCATCCTGAAACTGTAGTTTGGAAAGCTGCTATGAAATCTCCCTTAAGGTTCTCTACTATCCTCCTAATATCTCTAAGGAACTAATTTCTTCAAGGATCTTTAGAAAGAGGTAATTACAATTAAACCAGTTAAAGTGTGTGGTGTAGCACATACCTTTAGAAACTAGCATAAGCTGTCTATGGATATTGATTTAGTTTATTTTCTATTTATTAAAGATCAGCCAAGCAGAAGTTTGAAAGATGAGGATACATCATAAAAACTAATTTTTGAGACCTCTTTACAGAATACCATGCTTCTGTCTCCAGCAAAATAGAATTGCAAGACCTAACATTGCCTAAAACTAATTGTTACATTAACCACATTGGTCAGCATAGTAGGTTCACCACAACCTGAAATGCATCTGTAAATAAAGCAATGCAGGTTGTCAGACGTGGATGAGATAGTGAGAGAGATAATATTTTGTTATAGATAAGTTGCCACATTGTAGATAGAGACCATTGCTCGGTGGCAGAAGGCATACCTTGCAGCTAGACCATTGCAGTTTTAATCCTTAGCATTGCTGCACAAGTTCAGGGAAGAGCCCTGGGAATAAAGAGACTTGACTACGTGAAGAATTTCTGCCAGTGAAGCGAAGACAATTCCCAGGTAGATGGATTAATGGTCTAACTCAACATTAAGCATAAGCTGAAGCTTCACATTAAGTGAGCCAAATATAAGTGGTTGTAGCTTCTGGATAAATGAAAAAAAAGATAAAGCTTACCTTGTTTGATACCTCCAAATGATTTGTGTTAGGGTCAGACCTTTCCCATAACACCTTTCTTACTTGGCGTCTCTTCAACCTATGAAGCAAATGTTCTTATGTACCAGTGCTTAACCATATCTCTTAAATTCCAGTAGATACAGAGAAAAAGGACTATAAACCAACCTTACTCGATACCTTTCTGTGGACTGTCAGACCAAGGCCTGGATCCAGCAATCGGACTGTCAAATGCAGGGCAGATCTTCCCAGCATTTATTTCTCCGCCTGGTAGATATTCTTAGATAAGTGTAACGTGTCTGTCATTGATACATCGTAGAACTCTTTTTTTTTTTTTTTTTTGGTCCATTGAGCCCTTCTTGTCTTGATTTAGGAGCTGCGACTTTGGGATTAAACAGAATTGGAGGCAGGAAGTTTTGTGTTTGTTAAGAGACATGGGAGTGAGAGACAAAGTCAGGTGCAACACCCAAAGTTGAAAATCAAGTAGGTCATCTTAAGGATGGCAATTAGCAGATGAATCAATGGGTTTGGCTTCTATTTTGCAAATTGGAAATTATGAAAGCTGATTTGTGTTTTGATAAGTGACACCATAGTTTATTGTAATCTCTTTTTAAAAGAATGTAAAGAGTACATTAATTTCACCCTTTTCAGCATTCATAGATCTTCTTATTCCCCTGCCTTCCAGTTTTCTGTACAATTAATTTCATCTCATTTCTTTAAGCTTATCTGAGAGCTTTGGTGAGTTTTTTTAGTTATTAGCAGGAATAAATTCTGTATGATATTTATTATTATCCTAGCTTGCCCTAACCTGCAAGGCAAAGGAAGGATTAAAGTGGCTCCACCAGAAATGAGTCAATGTCCCCAAATCCTTCATCAAGTCATTGTTAACAGACAGGCCTTGAGAAAACCTCACCCTGATCCAGACATTTACCCATCCCTTAGCATGGTACCTCTAAGGTATGAATGTCATGGCATGCCCTGGAGGATGTTTCCAGGCAAAGGGTTGCTAAGCATTATCAGTTAAACGATACAGGGCTGGATCCTGCACCTACACACCATGAGATGAAGGGCTTCCCTATCAGGAGGTCCCTTCATCCAGTTTTTGGGCATCCCCTCAAATGTAGGAGGAATCCTTCACTGTATTCAGTCTCTGATCTAGTTTGTACAATCACTGCAGTCCACTAATGGGTTATTTAAGCCATGGTAGGTTGTGATGGCCACGGATGCCAGATTGCTTTTTTAAAATGCTGTCTGATCATGCCAAGGATGGTTTAAAACATACAACAGGTCATGTGTTTTGACTGGTTCATTAGCCATTCTAACAAGCCATCTTTTCCATGAGCAGAAAACATTAACTGTGCAAAAGGAAAGTGGTTATGAAGATAGGGTTCGCTCATGACCAGCATACACAGAGTGGTTAGGACCAGCATACACAGAGAGTCCTTGAGGCATGTGAACTGGCCTTCTGTGTAGCATTTTCAGATATTGGAGGGGCTGTGGTGGTAAGGAAATGCTGGGGAAGTCCGTTTCCTTCACCACAGTTGATCCAGTAAATCTGAATTCAACCCACCAGGTATAGAATGAAAGCTCAAAACACTGCAAGTCATGAAGTTTTATGTAGCTATTCAATCTATTCATCCATAACAGATTTTCTGTAGAAAGAAAACATGGGAAAGTTACAACTAGAAGACATTGTAAGGTATTCCTGTAAATTTATGTGAATGAATCAGGGTGATGGCACCATGTTAGCAAGATCGTGGGACCACTCTGAATATGCATCAGTACAGAACTACAGTGATAACAATTATTGTCTTGCTTGTTGTCTTTCTGGAGGCCTGTTTAGCAACTGCAGGAATTACAATGCTGAAGTAATCCAACAGGGCTCTTCCAGCAGAACTGCTTTGGGTTAATGCTTGTGTGAGCGTCCTGTTTGCATAATTATTCATCTGGCTGTCATCGGAGATATTGGATGGGCATCTGGTTCATCCATAATTGTATATTTTGCAGGATACCTTAAGGGATCATTGGGTATGTTTGGAATTTTGAGTGTGTTGTGGATGTTCTCAAAAATGGCTGCCATGGAATGGGGAGGGGGCCCTGCTCATTCATAAGATGGCTGTCACAGTGAGAATTGCTGGTCAGAAAGCACTTCTTTATTAGAAGGCAAACTGGAGAGGCAAACAAAGATAAATTGCCCAAGAACCTAAGTACAAGGTAGAAGTGGAGCCTGAGCTCCAAAACCCAAACCCATTCTTTTGACTCCAAATAAAGATGGAAGTGGATCTTTGCAAGCTGCAAACCCTTTGCTTTGCAGCTTGCCAACCTCCCAATTAAAATTAATAATTAAAACACAGATTAAGAAGTAAGATTACATTCAGGAAGGGCAGGGAGTCACGTGGACACCAGGTGAGGTATCTGAGGGTATACTGCTGTCCAGGAGCAGTCCAGCCCAGGAGACACCAGCCCAGACATATGATGGCTGAAGTAGATGGGACCAGATATCCAGGCCAGGACAAAAATTACCTAATTTATGTCTTTAAAAGCTACCTCACAACATCCAAGCCTGTTCCAGGGGTACAGTTCTTATTTTCTGGGAAGTAAGCCTCATGTAACATAGTGGAACTTACTTCTGAGTAAAGGCCCTTTGTACAAGATTGTAAGAAGGAAGACCTAAAGCAAGATAGGAGGAGTTCAGAGGCAAAGGACCTGCTTTTCATGCAGCAGCTCCCGAGTTCCATCCACAGCATCTCCAGGTGAGCCTAGAAAGGCACTGCCAGGCAACAAAGACAATAGCTTAGGCAAGGTCATAAGGCAGCTCTCTGTGCTCCTATGGCTATATATGTATAATATATAGCGGTATAATATTAAGCAGTATAATAATATGCGTATATTGCTTAATATACTATTTAACACCCTATTTGCAATGCATCATTAAAAACAATTTGAATACAGGAACAAAAGCAATGTAAGGAACACTAAGACAGAGTCGCATATGATGAATTACAAATCTGCTGCAAACTCATATACTGTCAAACTGAAAATCCTAGAACTCCCAGCATCCTCCAGTACTACGGCTGACTGGGGAATTCTGAGAGTTGTAGGACTTTTCTCTGTCTCAACATGTATAGGATTGAACCATTAATTATAAGTCAGAGAAGGCTGGGTAAATAACTGCATTTTCAGGAGAGATTTAAAACATACTACATTTCCTTTCTCTCAAACTGCGTGGATAAGGATTTTCCAGATGACGGTTGACACTACTAAGACAACTGTGCAAAAAGGGGTGGACTTTAATCGCAGAGAAACAAAGTATGTTGTATATTGTAAAGTATGTTGTAAAGTATGCTCCTTGCGATACCAAGCAAAGACAGGATACAGCTCTTGATTCTGTTCTGTCTTAACATTTTGCACAGTTAAAAAAAAGAACAAAGAAGTGGAGAAATAAGGGAAGGTTACAAGTGGAAGACACTATCATCTGAACTCCAAGTAAGATTCTGTGAATGAGGTAGGGTAATCACAGAATCAAAACCTCCTCCAGAAGCACCCTGCTGAAATGAGACTTACAAATACTATTAAAAAATACAGGTTTTTTTCACGAGTTGTGCTCAGGATTAAACATTACACCATTCTGAGGCATTTCCATAGAGGAATTAATATATACTCTGTAGCTTATGTTTTCCTTTATGTGCAAGGTAATGCCACACCATAACAACAATCTATGCACAAAGTGTATGTTAATTCAAACATACAAGCAAAACCTATGAAGCATCTCTGCATCTGAACATTTTCCAGAAGGGAAGTGGAGATATTTTACTGATTTATTTACTTACTTTATATTCTGCCTTTTTTCCTGCAAGAAATAAAGCTTCGACCATTGGGGGTATAGAAATTAAACAAACAAACCCAAGATGGCATATATTATTTTCCTCCTCTCAATTTTATTTTCATAACAGCCCTGTGAGGTAGGTTAGGCTGAGACTCTGTGACTGGCCCAAAGCCACTCAATGAACTTTATGGCTGAGTGGGGACTTGAACCTGGGTTTCCCAGTGCACTGGCATTCTAAAAACAACAAAGCGACATTTGGCACCTTGGAAATGAGTAGTGGTTAGAAGGGAAAGAGAGGCACTTTAGACTTGTTCAGAGATTCCTTTGTTGCTTTAAATACTCTAGAAATCAAGCCAAGTTTTAAAAGCCTAAAAGCCAGTCATTTCTATCAGCTATTCCTCCTATTTCATTAGTCTGCATTGTATACATACGCCACACTTATGACCACTTGTAGTTTACCATGCATAAACTCTTCAACTGAAGGGTGAATCCTGTGAATGGCACCACCATCACTCAAGTGATGTTAGGCCTGGTAAGCACATTGTTGAGTTTGTTTGAAAATGCTTTCATTGGAAGCTCAGGTGACAGCATTGGTGAGGAGCGCTTTCCTTCAGCTTCGGCTGATTCATCAGCTGCGCCCCTACCTGGAGTACAACTGCCTGGCGACAGTGACACACGCGCTGGTGACTTCCCGCCTTGACTTCTGTAACGTGCTCTACGTGGGGCTACCCTTGAAGACGGTCCGGATACTTCAATTGGTTCAAAATAGAGCTGCCAGGCTGCTGATGGGGACTGGGCGTTATGTTCACATGACTCCAGTCCTCTGTCAGCTTCACTGGCTTCCCATTGAAGTCCGGGCCCAATTCAAGGTGTTGGTGATGACCTATAAAGCCCTAAACGGCTTGGGTCTTGGTTACCTGAAGGAGTGCTTACATCCATATACGCCCACCCGCCCCTTGAGATCTGTGGGAGAGGCCCTTCTCCGGGAACCCTCTATGAAAGAAATTAGGAGGGTAGGTACTCGGAGAAGGGCTTTCTCTGTGGTGGCGCCCAATCTATGGAATGCGCTCCCCAGAGAGGTCCACCTGGCGCCGTCGTTATTTGTTTTTCGGCGCCAGGCGAAGACCTTTTTATTTAAGCGTCATTTTAATTGTTAGTATTATTCACTTATTTTATCCGGCCAGGGCGACTTATTTTATATTGTTATCTCTTGTATTTTAATTTATGATGTGAGCCCCCCCCCCTGAGGCTTCGGCGAATGGGGTGGCATAGAAATGTTTTAATAAATAAATAGTATTATTTATTTATTTAGAAAATTTCTTTGCCGCCCCATTTGCCGAAGCCTCGGGGCAGCTCACAAATGTATCAATTAAAATATTATACAATAAAAATATAAAACAAGTTAACAATATAAAATAAGTTGCCCTGGCCGAAGAATAAAATAAATAGTATTAACAGTTAAAATGACGTTTGAATAAAAAGGTCTTCGCCTGGCGCCGAAAAACAAGTAACGACAGCACCAGGCGGACCTCTCTGGGGAGCGCATTCCATAGTATCAGACTCTCTCCTCTTTATTAATGTAGCAAAACCCACTAAAGTTGAGAAGAAAACAGTTTTAGGGTTAGGAAGTATTTCCAAAGGTGCAACAGAGTAAGACTTGGTTCAAGACCCATGCTGCCCCAATCAAGTGACCTCTAGATATTTTGAAGAACTACCGGCCTTCCTGACCATTTGCCATGATGATGAAGCCTACAAGAACTTCTTCCTCTTTAAATTATTATTGCAACAACCCTGGTAGGGTAGGCTGGAATGGCTCGAATTCACCAGTGAGTTTTATAATCATGTCAGGGTGGCCTGAAATACAGATTTCCCAGCACTTTACCCACGAAATCAGATTTCCCTTAATGGAAGTTTAAATCCAAAACATCTGGAGGGTACAAAGTTTAAGAATTCATGAATCTTTTATCCTGCCATGCTTCCTACTTGGTTGCAAGCTATCCTGAATTTAAAAAAAAATGAAACAAGACTCATTATGGCACAAAATAAGCTACACAAAAGGGCAAGACAAGGTCAGTACAAAATGCAAGCGCCAAACCCAGCACAACAACCACCATTTAAAATAAATTCTACTTTATTAATGTTTACAGCAGCCTCCTCCGTGCCCTAACATGTGGGCGCACAACACTCCTGGGGGATGCTGGGAATTGCAGTCCAACACATCAGGCCGTGCGCCACATTGTGGGTGGGGAAGCTACTTCATAGATTCGAAGCCGCCAGCGACCACCGAGGAGGGATCGCAGCCTTTCCAGAGGGGTCGAAGGCTTCCAGCAGCGGCCGGATCTCGCCTCCCAGCCGGAGCTATCGCGCACCGGGCGCAGGGAGGTGCTCTGCCGGCCAGGGCGGTGCGTTGACGCGCTCTCCGTGCGCCCGGCTCCTCCTCCGGCCGTCGCGTTTCCCCGGCAGGAAGCGTGCTTCCCCGCTCGCACGCCGGCTGTGTAAGTGGCGAGAAGTGGTGTGGGGTGTTGTGGGGAGGACACACGGGATGGAGAAAACGCAAGGAGGTTTCGTGGACTCGACCCCCGATCCAGTGCGCAGTTTTGAGCGCTGGAAGAAGAAGTACACCAAGCGCAAGAACAAGCTGCGGCTGCAGCGCAAGCAGAAGAAGCGACCCGAGTGGGAGGTGGAGAGGGAGGGCATCGCCAGCTTGGAGAGGCGCTACGCGGAGGTGAGCGAAGGGGGAGGAAGCCTGCTTGGGACCTGCTGCCAGGGCCGGGCAGTGGGCTCCTGGAAAACTATGGTGGTGCCATTGAGCGTGTGCAGAGTGCTTTGCCACCTTGTCGAGGGACCAGTACTGGCGGAACCATCGGTATCATCGGTGTTAGACTGCACACAAATGCATTTCCAAACAGAAAGTAACCTGGCTGGGAAGTGCTGGGAGTTGTAGGACTTTTTTCTGCCTTAACTGTGCATAGGTTTGCACCCTTAGTTGACACATTTAGCACACAATCCTGTGCATGCTTAGGCTGAAGAAGGGCCTACAACAGGCTCACTGGAACTTGTACTTTTCTCTGTCTTATCATGCATAGCACTGGGCCCTTCGGATTTCATCCAAACTCAGTGTAACTTGAATCCCATTCATTTCTGTGGGCCTGCTTGAAGTAGAACTAGCATTGGATATTATTGTTAAGGAATTACTAATCTTGTACCATCATCGCCACCATGAACTGATGTATGATAATAGGATGGGGCAGGATCCAACAGCATGCTTATGCCCTGTCTAGTTCTCTTTCATTCCATTGTCTGGTGGAAGTGGCCTCACCATTTTTGCATCAGCAATTTAGCATTTCTGGGGCAATTGGAAACATGCTGCATTCTAGGAGGAGGTAGGCAGTGGAGGCCACATAAAGGAGCTGCACCAATTTGTCACCTTCCAGGAACAAGCATTTCCCCTCATTTCTGAGATTTTCCTAGGAAGGCCTAAGTTTTCCTTGTGTAAGCAGTGGGTCCTGCTGGCACAGTGCCGTTATAGAAGAGTTAACTTCCCTCACCTGCATACAGGAGCCCAAATATGGATTGGACCATTCCTGCTTTCCTTTAGAATAAGAAGTATTGTGTATCTGAACCTGAAATGTGCAAGTTCCAGGCAGAGACTGCAATGGGGGAAGATGATTCGCTGAGTATATTTGGGGGAAAGAGCAGAGTAAAGTAGGGTGTATGGTGGTGCCAATAGGGGTTCAGAATAACCCTGGGAGTGCAGGTTTCTGAGGGTGTTCCCATCTGGGGTGGGAATGCTGTTCTTCAGAGCAGGGAAACTGTAGAGGCAATTTGCTGGGTATGAATTGGGGTTCCAATGTAATTGCATTCCTCTTTCATTCAGGTTGTTGCTAACTTTTTCATTGTTCTTCAAATAAACACTCTGCTGTTAGCGCCTTTAAAAACACACTTTAAAAGTTTGAACATCCTTTAGCCCAGTAAGGACACAATTTCTCTAAACAGGAGAAAATCTTACATTTTTCAGAAGGCCATAGCTATTCTTGGAAATTCAATGGCATTTGGTCAGAAATCAAGCATTTGGAGAAGTGGTGGGGGTGTATTCGTTTATGACGCCCAGTGTCTTTTACTCAATGTGCACAATGGAGTTGGGTTGCAGGATACTGGTGAGGCGTAGCCTGTCCAAACCCCGCTGCAGACTGATCCATGGAGTATTTTTACTCATGTCCTTACACCCCATTTATCACAATTACCACAGCCTGTGCCACCTATAAAACATTGCGCAGGTAATAGGACATGTTGATTGTATTTGATTATCGAGTGTGTGCATATGTTGGGAAGCCAGCATTAGCTGCTGTGTTGCAGCTTGTGTGCCAATAATTTCCTGTACAATCACAGGAATAACATTTCTTTACATAGAAAACTAGCATTTTTAAAAATCAGATAGCTTTTATTCTTAATCCAGTGGAAGGAGCCCATGGGACTTAGTGGTACAGAAACGTGATGGAGGGGTATTTATGCAGAGTACGTATACATTGGTTGGAGAGGGGGGTTTTTTGGTCTCATAATGCTAAAAGTTGGCATCATCTGATGGTACTGATTGGTGCAAGGTTCAGTACAGATAAAAAGGCGGCATGGCACGTACCATACAGAGCATACCATAGTTCACCTAATATGGAGTTCAAAGTGTACTGATGGGTACTCTTTTAAATACAGGCATTCCCTGAGTTATGAATGTGTGAGTTACAAACAACTCATACTTGAATGGCCCTAAAGCCTATTAATTTTTTAAAATTACTGCAGAAAATCATCAACAGCATAGAGCGTGGCAGTGAAAGGGGAGAGGGAAGGACTCAAAGCATCATGGTAGAGAAAGAGAAAATGAAGGGAGGCCTCTATAAACATGCCTTCCTGCCCTGCCCATCTGAAGAGGGAAATCGCTCTGGCCTTCCCTTGCTGCAAAGAGGCAGTGCTCGTGAGTTTTGTTGGGTGGGGGCTATATTTTCACTTTCATGGGGTCTTGTGCCCCTAACCTTAGTGAATGTGGAGGGCCTACTACATGTGATGTGAGTTACATAGAAATTCCGCTTGAAGACGCATCTCCATTTTCTCAAGAACGGAACTTATCTGTAGCTTTAAACTGAAGCTCAGTCCAGACAAGACGGAGGTCCTGTTGGTTGGTGGATCGGGCTTCGGAGAGGGTGAATTGAACCTAGTCCTGAATGGGGTTGCACTCCCTCTTAGGGACAAGGTCCGCAGCCTGGGAGTGCTCCTCGACCCAGAGCTTTCACTGGAAGCTCAGGTGACAGCAGTGGCGAGGAGCACTTTCCTTCAGCTTCGACTGATTCATCAGTTGCGCCCCTACCTGGAGTACGACTGCCTGGCGACAGTGACACACGCGCTGGTGACTTCCCGCCTTGACTTCTGTAACGTGCTCTACGTGGGGCTACCCTTGAAGACTGTCCAGATACTTCAATTGGTTCAAAATAGAGCTGCCAGGCTGCTGACGGGGACTGGGCGTTATGTTCACATGACTCCAGTCCTCTGTCAGCTTCACTGGCTTCCCATTGAAGTCCGGGCCCAATTCAAGGTGTTGGTGATGACCTATAAAGCCCTAAACGGCTTGGGTCCTGGTTACCTGAAGGAGTACTTACATCCATATATGCCTGCCTGCCCCTTGAGATCTGCAGGAGAGGCCCTTCTCTGGGAACCCTCTGTGAAAGAAATTAGGAGGGTGGGTACTCGGAGGAGGGCTTTCTCTGTGGTGGCGCCCAATCTATGGAATGCGCTCCCCAGAGAGGTCCACCTGGCGCCGTCGTTATTTGTTTTTCGGCGCCAGGCGAAGACCTTTTTATTTAAGCGTCATTTTAATTGTTAATATTATTTGCTTATTTTATCTGGCCAGGGCGACTTATTTTATATTGTTATCTCTTGTATTTTAATTTTCTGTTGTGAGCCACCCCGAGGCTTCGGCGAATGGGGCGGCATAGAAATGTTTTAATAAATAAATAAAGGGAATTAGACAAGTTCTTGGAGGGTAAGCATGTCAGTAGTTCACCACGGATGGATGTCTGTTGATTCCAGTATTGGAGGTAGTGTGTCTTCAGCAGAAGGTCTAGGTAACATGAGCCAGAGGGGGCCATTGCACTCGTGGCCTGCTTTGAGGCTTCCCAGCCATACCTTAGGTGGCCACTGTGGAAAAGAACATGATGGACTAGGTAGGCCTTGGCCCTAGGAGGTGCTTGGTGCTTGCATGGTAGGAAGTGTGATTTCCAGCCCCTGTACCAGCTGGCTCTGCCCCCTCCTTTTACATGAGATTGGGAACGTGCTGCATTATATCTTCCATTGTCTTGTACCCTTGCAACGCTGGGCTACTAGGGCTGATGATAATTGCAGTCAACCAGTTGTGTTGGGTAACCATTTCCCTACGTTTCATTTACGAAATGCTTGCATTCAGTAGAATTTGTCTTTGTAGGAGACTCAACTGGACTAAAAACTATTTTCGACTTCAGTCCATATAAACTGTTGAAATACGCAAAACATTATATGCCATTTAGAAAGAAATAATGCTGCAATTATTCCAAATACCACTGGTTTATGATTTTGCAAAACAGTTTCCATCTTTTTCTGCATTTAAAAACATTGAAATAATTGTGTTCTTGTTTCTTGCTTCCAAAATACTTTTCTTCTTATATCAAAATGGCCAATATTTTAGTTGTCACTGAAATTAAGCTACTGTGGTACATCCAGTTGGCATTTTGATTACTCTACATGCCACTGATAACACTTTGAATCAGTGCTCTGCTGTTCTGTGAGGAGCCCATAGCATTCAGAAATGGCAGCTGATTTTAATTTATATGTATATTATTATCCCAAGTGTAGAAATAATTAGGCAAATTTATTCTGAAGGTCTGTCTGTGAGCTTTCAGTCTTCTGCAAGAGGTAGGTCGGTAATCAGTTTTTATCTTTTCAGTTAGAGTACTAATGAAAGTTAGATGCTTGCTGCAGGGAGGCTGCATTGCAGGGTGAAATATGCTGAGAAAACATAATTACCTTTTATTAAGAAATTGTGCACATACACACAAACGTATCTTATTCTGGGGAGCTGCAAATTATGGAATTGGGTACATTTACTAGGCCTATATTTGCATGCAGGAGAATGAAATTCTTTCAGTCCAAGGGCTGAATTCCATTTTGAACACACTCTCAGCATCCCCATTGTGAGAAGGGCCAAAAATACCAGCATAGTTTAATGTATCTTTTATTGCCAGTCATTAAGCCATAGAAAATGGCTTAATGACTGGCAATAAAATGCATGGCATTCCTGGTGAAATGCAAGAATGTGCAGCTCTGAATCCAATCTCTTTATTTTGCAGAAATCCTAAAATTAGATTTTTTTTAAGGTTGATGGTTAGGCCTGTAATACATATCCTTAGTTGGAAGTAAACAGTATTGAGCTCCATGGGACTTAGTTCTGAGTAAACGTGTAGTAAGAATAGTGTGGTAGTTCTGTTTTTATAGAAATACTAATTATTTTAATACCATTGTTTCATATTTCACTTGATGTTGTCAAGCACAATGAGATGGGTTTTTTTTTCTTGTTGCTTAATTTCAGATAAATGCAAGCGAAATTGTCAGATTTTCAGATTTCCCATTATCCAAGAAAACACTGAAAGGTAAGCATCATAACATTTGGGTGTGATGGGTTGCAACTCACCTTTCAAGTATATGCAGGTAGACACATAGTGCCTCATTTTCACAACTGCTAAATCCATAGTTGGTGGGTGTGATAGTGACTGGATTGCTGCCCCACAGCCCCATTCTCCCATGCTAACCCTAACCCTGTGCTTTAGGTCAGGGGTCCTCAAACTTTTTAAACGGGGCCAGTTCACTGTTCCTCAGACTGTTGGGTGGTCGGACTAAAGTTTGAAAAAAAAATGAACAAATTCCTATGCACACTGCACATATCTTATTTGTAGTACAAAAAACCAGGAAAAACAATGCAATCTTTAAAATGAAGAACAATTTTAATCAACATAAACTTATTAGCATTTCAATGGGAAATACTATGGGCCTGCTTTTGACTAATGAGATGGTTAATGTCCAGTTCCATATTTTCTCCTCTCTACTGTATTCTCACTCCTCTCTTCTGTATTCAGAGCCAACACATGCGTGCAATAGGGGGAAGCGCCGGCACATGTGCAATTCATGCTGGCAAGACCAGCACAGCAGCAGGAGCTAGCCAGTACTAGCAGAGAGAGCCAGCACATGCGCAGTTGAAAGGAGCTGTCACAATTTGGTTTGTGCGCCGGCTCTCTGCTAGTCTCTGAAACTGAAAGAATTTCAGAGTACGCCAGCTCAGAGCTTTCGGACTCGTTTGGAGATCGTTTTCTTCGAATGAGTCCAAAAGCTCTGAGGAGGGCCGGATAAATGATCTTGGTGGGCCATATCTGGTCTGCGGGCCGTAGTTTGAGGACCCCTGCTTTAGAGAAACACCATGTTTAAACCATAGTGTTGTCTTCTGTTCTCCAGGCTTACAGGAAGCTCAGTATCGCATGGTCACTGAAATCCAGAGGCAAACTATAGGCTTGGCATTACAAGGAAAAGATGTGCTGGGAGCTGCAAAGACAGGATCAGGCAAAACCTTGGCTTTTCTTGTACCTGTAAGTAATGAACCTCATCACCACATATCATACTATAAGCTAATACTTATTTCATATTACTAATTGGTTAACTGGCCAAACACAGAGCTTGTCCATAGAACTTTTTGCCACTAGAACGTCTCGCTGTGCTTACATTTTACATTCTAATAGACATTCATAGGCTTAGTAAGATAACATAGTTTTGCCTTGATGATATTAATAATGACCTGCAATGGGCATCTGCGTCTGAATGTCCTGTCGTGTGATCTAAGCTATACAAATTGTAGAATTTTATGGTACAGCGCTGGTTGGACTGCACCACTTACATGTGAGAAGATAGAATTTCCTCCCTCTTAATATTAAAAATGTCTTGCACACAGAAAGCTAGCTCGTCCCAAAGAAGACAGCCACCTTCCCAAAATTTGGTGTTTCTAATAGAGCAGTTGTCTACTGGGGGAATGTTCAGAGTTCCTTGCAAATGCCTGGGGAGGCCCTGTGTACCATAGAGAATGTTCAGTTTGGCCTTTGCATATAATCAAGACTTTGTAAAGACCTCCACCCCATACAAGTGTTTAAAAAAGGAGAAAAATATCTACTAAATTCACTGGCACCTCTTTTCCCACTTGCCTGCAGGCACATGTGTACATGAAAATTCACAAAGAACTTGATGGGATAGAAATCTTTAATTTCTCCCAAGAGCACCATAGTACTGATCAGAATTAGGGCTGGGCACACTTACCTAGAAGTAAAAAGATTTAGCAAGCATAGATCTGTAATTCTGTTCTGGTTTGGAATTTTGGCAAACTTATTTATTTACTTCTTAGATTCATAGGGTCGGAAGGGACCAAAAAGGCCATCAGGTCCAAGGATGCCAGTCACACCATTCCACTCAGATAACAGTCTAGCTTCTACTTGAATGTCTCTAGTGTGGAAGAGCACACAACCTCCCCTGGCAAGTGGTTCCACTGTTGTGTTGCTCTGACAGTTAGAAGTCCTTCTTTGTGTCTTGCCTGCACCTGCTGTACTGTTGGTTAAGTTCATTGTTCCATATCCTACACTCTGGGATGAGTGAGAAGAGATCTTTTCCTTCTTCTGTGTGACAGCCTTTAAAGTACCAGTAGAGTGCTATCAAGTCACCTCATAGTCTTCTTTTCTCAAGGCTGAACATGCCCAGTTCTTTCAGCCTCTTATCATAAGACTTAGTTTTCAGGCCCTGTATCATCTTTGTTGCCCTCCTCTGAACTTTCTTCAGATTTTCATCATCCCTTTTAAACCTGGGTGCCCGAAACGGAATGCTGTATTCCAGGTGAGGTGTGACTAGTGCAGCGTAGAGAGGAAGGAGCACTTCTCTTCTGGAAGGGATACCTCTCTTTATGCATCCCAAAATAGTGCCTTTGTTGCAGCTGTATCACATTGCTGGCTCGTATACAGCTTGATGTCTACAACATGGGTCCTCAAACTGTGGCCCAGGGGCCGGATCTGGCCCGCCATGGCCATTTATTCGGCCTGCCTCAGCCACCGCCCACCTCGCCCCCCAGGCGGGGAGGCATCGGCCTGCTCGTGAAGAGATCGTTTTGGATTCGCTCGGAGAAAATGATCTTCAAGCGAGCAAGCCGCTGCCTCGTGGTGTGTACCCACCCCCGCCTTGCCTCCCCTCCCCTTGCTGTCCCCACACACCCCGCTTCAGTGCGCACTCCTGCGTGCCCCACCCCCACTCCTGTGCCGGACCGTGCACCCCACCGGCACCACCTTTCCGGCCCGCGTCCAGCACCGGCACCTTTCAACTGGCCCCCTGGCGAAAAAGTTTGAGGACCTCTGGTCTACAACAACTCCATGGTCTTTTTCAGTACTGTTGAGCCAAGTTTTCCTCATCTTGTATCAATGCATTTTTAATTTTTGTTTAGCAGCCAACAGGCTACCAAAGGGGCTTCAGTTATTGGGTGGTAGAAAATGAATTGACCAGTATAAAAATAATAAAGATGTATAGGGATATGAAATAAGGCAGTTCCTTCTTACAGGCTTACAGTCTAAAATACATGACACAAAAGGAAAAGGGATTGGGAGGAAAGAAAGGAAAAGCAAATGCAGTGCTAGATACTTAATTACTAAGGTCTTAATTACTCCCTGCTTCTCTTTTAATTTTCTAGATGGCCATTTTCTGGCTGGGGTACTTCAGAGTGGAAGAAGGCTGGAGCTTCTGTCCTGGCTGCCCCAGTCTCTTCTCCTCCCTGATTGTGAAATGTCCCCTTTAGTCCCTCTCCACGGTTGCTTTTTTAACTTTGAGGAGCAGTCCTTTCTGTGCTGTCTATGAGGAAGGAGGGAATTGGAGCTCTAATTCCCAGTTCCATTAACATTAGCTGATCCTTGGATCTGGGAACACAAACAGTCCTATTCCCACCCGGCCCCCCAGCCATGAAATCTGGGGGCTATGTATTGCTCCCTTAACTGGTTTTAAATGCATAGTACTAGTATCTTTTGGGACAAATTTCAACAGGCTGTAAAGCTTATATCGTAATGGGAATATTGTGTATTGCTGTAGAAAAAGTGTTGAAAAAGTATTGTTCTTACTTAATTTGGAAAAAAAGAATAGCACACCATGAAGGAATTCGATAGGTTTTCTAATTAGCATTTTCTAACTGTTCAGGCTCTGGAAATCTTATACCGCCAGCAGTGGACTTCCATGGATGGACTGGGGGTACTTATAATATCACCTACCCGAGAGCTGGCATACCAGACCTTTGAGGTTCTGCGTAAGGTGGGAAAGAATCACGACTTCTCAGCTGGTCTTATCATCGGTGGAAAGGTTGGCCTCCTCCAATTTTTACAATATGTATGGGAAAAATGGGCTTCGCTGAGAGAAAAATGAAGTGTGTTGAAGTGAGAGTTTGGGGTATCTGTATTCATTCTGCTTTGTTTCCTGGCTACTCTCATGTTTGTGTTTTTGTTCCTGCCATCTTTAACTCTGCTTAGAACAACATTGTATTTAAACACTAGCCTTGTATGCAAAAAACAGAATCATGTGCAGGCAAGTGCATGGAATTCCATGCAAGCGACAGAACAGACAGAGGACGGAGGGAATCTTCCAACTTTTCTTTGCGTCAGCATAGAAATACCCGTTTCCCATAGCTTAAACAGGAGCTAATGTACATGTCCAGCTTAGAACTCATTTTCTGTTGAATGCTATCCTTCATAACCCCTAAGGCCTGTTCTGATAGTTTAGCTTGGAAATTGTGCTCTGTCAAATTATTTGGAAATATATTCTGTTGAACCTGTTGGAACATCCTTACAAGCAAACATGGATAGGACTGTGGCACATGCTGACAAAATTAAAGCTCTGGTAATCATTCCCCTTCATATTTGTTTTCTCTGGCCATTAAAAGCTGCCACAGTTAAGACCATGTTTAAGTCTAGGTGCGGAACTGGTTTTAAGGTGGGGGTCCTGACTACACCCACCACATTTTCCATGGGTCTGAATGTCATTGTCTTGCTTCACCTATTTTTCCTTCCCTCTGTACTGAGAGAAGCATGAGGTTCCATGTCTCCCTCAGCATGGAAAAATTGACTCAGCTGCTCTCTCTTCCACATGGCTTGCAGTTTCCCCAGTAGCATGTGAAAGAAGACTTAGCTGGTGCTGGGAAGAGCTGCTCCTGATTGTGTCCCTGTGGCCCCCATCCTGCTTTTATCTCTAGTCTGAGATTATAGTGGGGATTCCTCCAAGGGGCATAGTCCAGAGGCTGTGCGCCCTGGTGGAAACCAAGGAGACTGCACAAGACTAAAGGTCATAACTTCTGAAGGCTAGAGGTTCTGCACTCCTGCATTAACATCTTTCCAGAACATGTTTTGATTCTAATGCTGGCATCCATTTGCTGGAAGAATTCCCTAGATTGGTTTTGGGGGGGTGGGGGGAAGCAGCTGCAATGTGGCAGGTGGCCAGAAACAGCCAGATTGGAATCTGGTCCATCGTGAAGGTTTTCTGTGTGCTGCAGCTCATGATGCAAATCCTGTGATTTTCTCTATGCCACCTCAAGACATGCATGTGCCCTTTTGCAGTTGCATGGGGGAAAATCTCAGTTGTGCTATGAACTCCTGTGTTTGGTCAAACTTTCTGCAAGGAGTATATTCTGAAACTGTCAATTACTAACCTCCAACTCTTGTTTCAGGATTTGAAGCAAGAATCAAACAGAATCCACAACATAAATATGCTCATATGTACTCCTGGTCGACTTTTACAGCACATGGATGAAACATCATATTTCCATGCCTCTAATCTACAAATGCTGAGTAAGCATAAAATGTTTGCTTTGGGCCCCTTTTCCCAGAGTTAATTGAATTGCTGTGAAGTGTTCAGAGGGTTTCAGCTGTTGGGCAGTATGGAAGGAAATAAATAATAATAGCAAAAATGTGAGCTTCAATAAAAGCTATTGCCCTGACTCTTAAGTGTTATTAAAGCTTCCAGCCATGCAGTCTAGATTGTAACAGCCTTTCTAAAAACAAACAGCTTATCCTTGCTCCTGTTTCTTAGAACATGCCTCTCTCAGAGGAATTCCATGACCAAGGTGGTAAACGTTCTTTTCTGACTCTGATCAGCATTTCCTGTGGAAGAAGAAGGTTCTGAAGAAGGTGACCCAGCTGCAGGCACTTAAAAGGATTGCAACTGTAATTTAGTTTGCAATCCTACATGCAGTTACTTGGCAGGAAGCCTTGCTGTATGCAGTGAGACTTCTCCAAAAGCATGTGTAGGATTGTGCAATCTGTCATCCCATTTGCCAGCCAGGAGAGCTGGTGGCAGGGAGTATCTGGCTGGAACCATAGCGCCTCCAAAATGGTGACCTGGCCCAATGAGATCTGGAGACCAGTGCTGAGTCTTGCTTTCTTCACTTGGTCTGACTACCTGTCCCAGGGTCTGCTGGGACTGAAGGAGGATGAAACCCCCTTACCTAGATCCTTATATTCTGTTGTCACTGGCTGGCTTTAGTGAGCTGTATTGTCATTTCTGCCAGCTGGATCCTGGTGATTAGGACCCTCAAAGGATATGAGTTCTATTCCATGGGTACCACTGTGAGAGCAGGAGCTGGGGTCAAGGTTTCAGATTGGTTTCAGGGTCAGTGTTTTGAGCCTCCATAACTTGTGCTGCCAAAGTTTTGGGTACTCTGCTTCTGAAGTTTCAGCTAAACATTAGGAGAGACTTCCTAATAGTTTGGAAGTAGACAATACTGTGGGAGGTGGAAGGTTCAGCTTTGTATTTAAACAAAGGAAATGCTGTATCTTGCATGGCAGGCCCTGCACTAAGTGGGGGATTGCACTAGGTCAGGATGGAGAGCCTCTTTCACCTGGAGGCATGAATTCACTTTCGAGGAAGATCTCGGGGGCCTTATTCCAGTGTTGGATGGGTTTGATGGCAAATGGAATGGGGTTAAAGGTACACAAAAACCAGCACTCCAAGTAGTTTAAGTCTGAGGAGAGGCTGGTGATGATCTATAAAGCCCTAAATGGCTTGGGTCCTAGACACCTGAAGGAGTGCCTCCTTCCCTATATGTCCTTCTGCCCCTTAAGATCTGAGGTGGAGGTCCTTCTTCAGGAGCCCTCCTTGAAAGAGATTAGGAGGGTGATTACCTGGAGAAGGGCCTTCTCTGTGGTGGTGCCCTGACTCTGGAATACACGCCCCAGAGAGGCTTGCTTGGTGCCAATGCTCTTTCTTTTCGCCTTTTTCTTCTCTCGTTATTTTAATGTCTAATTGGTTTTAATGTGTTGTATACTGCATGCTGTGCTGTTTTTAATTTCTATTTATCTTGTTTGTTGTAAACCATCCCAAGACACTAGTGTACAGACGATGTATAAAAGCTTTAAATAAAGAAAGAAAGAAGCAAGCAAGCAAGCAAACTAACACAGTTTAGAATGGAGAGAGGACAGACTGCACAAGAGATGGGAAATGGCCAACAATTTGTAGTTGGGGAAAAGGGGATGGGACCAGGGGAACCTTGGAAGTCTATGTGTGACTGTTGGATCTTAAGTTTTGTACTCGCGGATTGTTGATCCCCAGATCCCTGCCAACCTGATGAATTTGTGATCAGTGCCTGGATCACAGCTTGGCTCTGGGGCCATAGCAGAATCTGGGGAAGGCCCCAAATAGGGAAACAATCAAACATGTTCCAGGTGGGACTATAAATGGATGGGAATGGAGATCATATGGGTCAACACCAACACTCTCTTTATTCACTTGTGTGTGTGTGTGTGTGTGTTTTTTGAGTGAAGCATTTCATATGGATAAGCACCCAGCATCAAGTGTGGAAATTAGTCTTACCTTCTGTGTGAAGATTAGAAGCTTTAAAAAAATCCAATTCCTTCCAGCTGACCTTTCTCGTTTCAGTACTTGATGAAGCTGACAGAATTTTGGACATGGGCTTTGCTGATACAGTGAATGCAATTGTAGAAAACCTTCCCAAGAAACGCCAGACGCTGCTTTTCTCAGCTACACAAACCAAATCTGTGAAGGACCTTGCCCGGCTGAGCTTGAAAGATCCAGAATATGTTTGGGTGCATGAAAAAGCAAAGTTCAGGTAGGAAACTCCAAGAAATTGATGTGATTCTCTGGGGGTGGGGGAAAGGGTAGGGTGAAAATACCATTATAAGTCCTCAGGATATGCTTGTGATAAAAGAAGACAGAAGAGTAAAGTAAGCATGTTTGGCCACTTGAAATCACTCATTCACAATCATATGCACATCACAGTATGGATGTGCTCATTCTCTTGTGCATTAACACTCTCTCACACAAAAGAAAATCAGTCTTGGTTGGTCATAGTGTCATCATAGAATTCTTTTTCTCAGATCTTGTTCTGTGATTTCAAGTACTGTATGTGTGCTTCAAATAATGTTGATATATAACTGGCTTTCAGGCAGGAAGCTGTCAGCAAAATGTAAGTGTATAAAATAGCCAATTTAAAATCAGTGAAACCAGCTTAGCTGTGCATTTGACAAAGGGCAGTCCAAGTAATTTTTTATTTAATCCACCCCACCTTATCTCAGAGACATGACAAGACAATATAAGTGCTAGATATCCTGCCGTAATCCAGTTAAATAACTGAAGGCATAATACAGACTTCCAAGTATCCATGCTTAGAACTGCAGCCCTAGTAAATTCTTACTTCCACTTGCCCCTCTTGTGTGCAAGGTTTGTGGCATTCCCCCACTACTAATTATATCAAGCTGGAGTGTTTGTGATTTTGAAGTGTGTGGCAGGCCTTTCTTCTTACCGAGTTACTTCCACCAAATACAGCCTCACTTCTAGTTTGTGATGTTGCTGATCTGCAACAGAAATGTGGAAATGTGTGTGTGCTTTGTGGTCTCTGCGTCACACATATGGGTGCTGCATCTGCCCAGAGCTTCCACTCAGTAAGAGTATCCTAGCTAAGCTTAGAATTTTTGGCAGGAGCTGCACTCTCTTTCCTCTAGTATAAATAGGTGGGGCTCCCGCCATTTCCCTCAGTTCACATGGAGGCCGGTGTTTGGCCTCAGATTTTGGTTGCCCTATAGTGTGACCACCAACACTGACATGGGGCTAGCGGGTGGGTTGTGCGAATGCACAGATGACCACTCAAAGAACAAGGAACCAGTGTGGTGTAGTGGTTAAGAGCCTGGGACTGGGACTCAGACGATCTGGGTTCTAGTCCCCACTCAGCCATGGAGCCAACTGGGTGACTTTGGGCCAGTCACAGACTGTCAGCCCAACCTACCTCACAGGGTTGTTCTTGTGGGAATAAGATGGAGGAGGAGATGTAAGCTGCCTTGCGCCCTTTGTAGGAGAAGGCAGGGTATAAATTGAAAAAATAAATAAAACAACAGTTACAGGTAAGCAACCTTTCTTTCCCCAGAAGTTATGAGACTACAATTTAAGTTTGGGTTGGGTCCAGTGTTCGTTATACTTAGAGTCGATGTATTGAAATGAGTGGGATGTAACTAACTTAAGTCTCATTGATTTCAGGCTGCAGTGTAAACACGACTAACTTGAGTTCCTCTCTCTCATCATGTGATTGTGGACATTGTGGTCCAAGAGTGTGGCGAGGCATAGGCTTCCCCATGCCTGATCAACAAGCTTTATTTGGGTTCATGAGCTCTGTTGGCTATCTGTCCTCCTTTTAAAAACAGTTCAGATTATTGAGAATAAATGGCTGAGGAAGGAATTCTCCTGCATTTCCAACCAGACTAGTATGTTGTGTGGCAGCTAGCTGCAGCTGCTTGGTGAAATAGCAGTATATCTTCCTATAGTCTTCAGAATGGACCTGGTTAGGGGTGAGCTTGTAAGTCTTTCAACCCTCTGCTGCTATCAGTGAAATGAATTTGTATAAGGCAGCTTCCTATATTCTTGTTTTGCTTTGCCTTTGAGGCAGTGCCCCATAGAGCTGCTTTTTTGTACAAAAAGCCCTATAGAAAGGCAGAAAACTGTTAGAGGAGCTGGTATAGCAATTGTCTTACAGTTAGGGGTCATTTACTGAAGCATAGCATTGTTTATTTATTCAAGGAGATTTATATACTGCTTCCCACTTTGAAAATTATGTACAGTCCTGCAAATGTCAGCAGTAGCGTGAAAAATGAAAGTACAAGCTGTATTCACACGCATCGGCAAGAAGGATTAATGTATGGATATGTAGCATGGTTTCCCAGAGACCTAGGTGCCCAATGAGATACCCTGCCCCTCTAGTTTTCCACTTTTTTAAAAAAAGTAGCACCTTTTCCTTACGAGGAACTGGGTTCTTTTCAAAACGAAGTGAGTGCTTCCAGCTGCTGCCATCTTCCTTTCCCATGAATGCCACTGGGCCATACAGGGGGCTCAGAGACATGTTTAGGAAATCAACATGGCCAACAGCTGTAGGCTGTTGGTTTCCTTTGCAGTATACCCAGCTACCAAGGAAAAGAAGTGGAGCGGGGGAGAAGGGACTGGAAGGGGTGGCTAAGAGCGGTTGTGGGGATGGCAAAAGAGAGTAGTGGTGAGATGAAGAACTGCGGCAGGGAAGACAGCAGGAAGGGAGCTGAGGAGAGCAATGGGAAGCCAGTAGTGGTCTGGAGAAGCCAGCTGGAATATGCCTGGAGTCTGGAGAAGGCTGCTGGGAGACGCCTGGGGTCTGGAAAGAGCTGAGTGCTTCTATGTCTGAATTAACAGCACTGTGTATGTGTAAGAAAGAGAAACGGGGAGAAAAGGACTTTATGGCGAGGTATTTTAGAGTATTTTAAAAGAGAACAAGTAGTTTTTCTTGTGCTTTTCGTGGTCAGGCAAAGAGAAGGCAGGTATGTATGCAAGCATGTAGGATAGGTACACGGTGTATGCACGTATCCGTATGGATGGAAGTCCATGACTTTTTTAAAGTCATGACTTTACTGAGTCAGACTGTCTTACCCAGTATCATTAGTACTGACTGGCAGTGACTGCAGGGTTTGAGGCAGCCCTACCGGGAGATGCAGGGAATTGAACAGAGGACTTTGGCGTGCAAAGCAGGTGCTCTGCCAGCTCACTACAGCCCTTCTCAGGGAATGGCTTTCTGCCACTGGGATTATCAATTTTTTAAATTGGAGATCTTGGTGATTGAACTGAAGACCTTTTGCATGAAAAGTAGTTGTTGTACGAACAGAATCATTTAAGGTAATTCTGTGCCCCTTCTCTTAGCCTCAGCCCTGCTCTTCATTAATATTGACTATAACTCAAAGGGCTGCACGGATTGCAGAGCTAGTGTTTACAAAGTATGTCAGGTGGTGATGTTCAGCGAAGATGATCGTATTACGTGCCTTATGCTGGTTTTTTCAGAACCAGAGTTGCAACATCAGATCTCAAGAGATCTCTGTTTCTTGCAAAAAGTACATTTTATAACTATAATATAGTGACAGACTTTTTATTGTAATTTTGGTTGAAGTTCAGCTAGTGTGCTAGGGATAGAAAAAAAGAGCTTGCTGGCCGGATCCAGCCCCTACATTTTATTTGCCTATCCTTGCTCATCTAAAACATAACGTAGGCAGATAGATTGTTTTCTGCTTTTATGCATGAGCTTCGGAGTTTATTTCTTTTTCTGATGAGAAAAGATTAATTCCTTTTTGATAGTAGTTCTACTTGCTGTCTTGAAATAGCCTAATTGCTTGAATTTGACAATAACATGGAACAAAAATTAATGGAATCTTCCTTTTTTGGCAGGAATTACTGCCTTGAGAAACTATTTCATCAATTTACCAGAACAGGGGTGAAAAGTTCTAAGCTGAATTAGTTGCAAGCCTCCAGTGCCAGTTGGGTAATTTACAGAGCAGTAACTTACAGAGCAGTGGGCTGAACCAAATCATTATAGAACACTGTAATTTCTATAAAACGAGTAGCTTCTTGACTAAAATACTGCTGATACTTTTAATGGTTCCAGTTTCAACAGTGGAAAGATATAATGAAGCATTTTACATAGTTTATAGTACAGGGAACGGACAGCATCATCTTCATTTTTAAAACCTCAGCACTAATTTAATTTGCCTATTGTATATCTCAACAATGCTGTTACACAAGTCAATACAGAATTCGATTAAAATGTATTCTTGTTTAATTTCACTTGGCAAATTAGCCTGTGGCTAAAAAACAAGAACTGGATTGAAGTATTTTCTTCAATGGCTGTTAAACAAAGTCATAGATTCCATGGCGTGTTTCAGGTGTAATACCAAGTCATGTGCATATGAGCCTCATTATTGGAAAGGAGGGGCACAAATGCTGGCTAGGCAATGCTGGAACTTCTTTCTGTCTAAACGTGCATGGAGCTGTACCTTTAACAGTAAAAATAATGGTACTTAAATAATGATTCTATAATGTTTAGCATTAGTATTTACATTTGTCATATTACCATTTATTTTAGTACTCCAGCAACTTTGGAACAGAACTACATTGTTTGTGAACTGCATCAAAAAGTCAATATGTTGTACTCCTTTTTGAGAAGTCACCTGAATAAGAAGAGTATTGTATTTTTTGCAAGCTGTAAAGAGGTATTTCATATTGATATTCCTGTCTTCTTCTTAGTATACATATTCTTGCCTGGATTTTTTTTATCGCAACATCTGCTGAGGTATGCATACTGCAAGACAACTGTTTTCCAGTTTGCATATTGTTTTCGGAAGTGCAGTATTTGTATACCTATATTTGCTGTGCAAATTGAAAGAAAGTCTTCCCTTCTCTACCTGTATCTTGAAGATAGTACTTCAGAAGGCCTGTATGGCAGAATCATCCCCTGCATCTCAGAATCATATCTATTGACAGTTGAATAATCTATAGCTGGCCAAGAGAGAAGGATAGGCTACAATCCAAACAACATTTTTCCAATAAACACATATTTTAAAAATAATTTTAGACTGGCCACTTTTATGTGAAAGGAATAGCAGCCACAGTATCCTAAACTGGATTGTATGGATTTGCTTCTGAAAACATGTCTCTTCTGTTGTTATTGTCCCCTAATGGTGCTGCCTTTGTTAAACCTCACCTTGTGAATAGCAACCATGGAGGGCTTGTTTTCATAGGAAACCCAGCGCAGGAACTTATTCTGAATTGGGAGACTATAGTTGCTTTTTTCTGCATAGCAGAAATGCTCAGTTGAAGTACTTTGCTGTACATCAGCCTTCCCAACCTGAAGGTTTGGCTGAGGATGATGGGAGTTGTAGTCAACACATCTTCATGGCAACAGGTTGGGGGGAGGTTGATAGACATGGTTCTTTACATACTAATCTAAGCGTAAGGTCAGTCCTGCTCCAAAGTGCTTACAACCTGAATTATTGTTGGCTTCAAGGTTCAGTATTTGTTCAGAGTGTTCTGCCGACTTCGACCTGGGCTCCCCATGCTGGCTCTTCATGGCAAACAACAGCAGATGAAAAGAATGGAGGTCTACAACGATTTCGTGCGCAAGAAATCGGCAGTTCTCTTTGCTACAGATCTTGCTGCTCGGGGACTGGGTAAGCAGTCTTTCAATTTCCTGCACGTTTGTATATAGTTTAAGAATTACCTCTCCAGCATTTGGATCCTCAGGTGCCTTACTGCATTCCTCATCACACCTAGCCAGTCTGACCTGTGAAGATGGGGATTGTAATCCAGCAGTGGGTGGGTACCCAAGCGACCTGTGCCAAGCCTTCCGTCTCTAACTAACAGTTCTGTATGTGTACCCCACATGAAAGCATGCTTCTAAAAGTATGGGGTTTGGACTGTCAAGGCCTATTAATGAAGTAGATAAAAAAAAACAAGATGATGTGAATGTAATGGAGTTTTTTTTTAATAACAGTGTTTAAAAATAGACATAACTTCTCCAGTAGGGGAAGGCTCATGTACAGCAAAGCTGACTCCTCTTTCTGCAATGTAAGGTGGTGTGGCATGACACTGCCTATTTTACATAAGGGAAACGGGTACAGACTGTAGGGACTGGGCCCAACAATTCTGCAGGGGCACCTTAAGAAGACTTGGAAACTGATTCTGGCTCCTAGTGGGGGAAGCTCAGATCACTCCTGCTGCGTTTGAACTCTTGCTTCCCCCTTTCATGAATATCTATACCGTGTTTCACTGTTCTTTGCTCTATCCAGTGGCTTTTGGTGCTTCCATCAGTCAGACTCAGTTTAGCCCCTCTGATCTTGGTGGAGGGAGAGGAAGCGGTTGAAGTGCAGGATGTTTGGACTCCCACTGGTATTGTGGAAAATCATAGTATTCAGTGGACTGCAATGTCAACAAACCTGAGAAAGAATCCTGGGAACTGGTGGAAAATGTATATGCTTTTCATTGATTAGTCATTTTCCTGTCAGATTCCGCATAAACCAATTGCCAAAATGCCAACCCGGTAGAAGGGGCTGTTAAGAGAATGGGGATGATGTAAGGATTGAGCCCAACAGCTCTGCAAAGTCACCCCCAAAACAAATCTAAGTCAGATTGGATGGGGAGGGAAGAGGCTGCTGAAATGCTGAGGCTGCAGGAGGAAGAAAAGAATGGGAAATAGCTGTAGTAACCAAGGAGGTCCTTCTGGAACTGGGAATGCCTTTACTGAAGGGGAGGAGGTGTTGGTGGGAAGTAGAGAGCCAAGAGTTTGGGGTCACATGAAGAGGGAAGAGCAATGAGGAGGGGCATGGTAACTCATCCGGCATGCACATGTGTGTAATCCTCCAGACTAATTTTGTGCCAATTTTAATGTATGATGCTGTCACCTGAAAAACCCATTAGAATGCAGAGGACTTAGCCATGCTAACTAGTTAAGCCAATAAGCCATGCCAGCTTTGATCCTTTGCCTTCTTTGACTGTGCAGGGATTTTGGTTTGTAGGCTGAGTCATGCCTGCTTGTCTGAAATTTCTACATAAGAAAAGCTAATTAAGTGGCCATATGATTGAGTAACCCATCTAAGCAAGTGGAAAGGCTGGCATCTGACAAACACCTCTCTGTCATTTGGTCCTTGGAGGGCTGGGTGGGTGGGGGGTTCATCTGGTTTCCCCACCCCCATTCTGGTTGCTCACCCCTGCCTTAAGATCAATTGTGCTAGCCCTTCTTTTGGAGAGAGATGAAATGGACAGAAAGAATGGGATAGAAGAAGAAGGGCAGGGCAGATAAAGCTGGAGAAAAAAGGTTGATAACATTTAAAAGTTCTGAAGTCCCATCTTGGGTTAAGGGTGGTTCCTGGCCATAGGAAGGTTGCAGGCCACTGGTCTTAATGCTAAATAGTTAGACTTACTTTTGCATTTGACAAATTCGAATTTCTGGCTCTCCATGTCAAGTGTAAAATTATGTTCCATTTCACTATTCATGCTTAGGAAATGCATATGCTATTAATTTTAGTTCCCTTTGACAAATAGATGATTTTAGCTTATAGGATTAATTTTGCTTTGTGTGCAGTCTCTTTGAATAGGATGCTGGTAAAACAGATCTGAAGAGCAGAATTCATAGTGAATTACACTGTGCAATGAGAAACTGTTTCATGTGGCTGAAATTTAGATGCTTTCTGACATCTGCTCCTCTTTTCACAGATTTTCCTGCAGTAAACTGGGTCATTCAGTTTGACTGTCCAGAGGATGCAAATACGTACATTCACAGAGTCGGGAGAACAGCCAGGTACATTTTGCAATTATTTGTGGTTCTCTCTTAATGAATATTGTGAATAGGTTGTAAAAGAGGTCAGGACACAGCCTTCCCTCTCTGCTGCCCTTTCTGTCTGTTGGCCATGCTTGCAGCAGATGCTGGGAGTTATAATCCAAATCACAAGATTGGAGAGCGCTGTCATGAGCCCTTGTGGCATTGGATTGCATTGAACCTCATGGCTTTTGTTGACTGGAGTTAGAAAACAGAACAACCTGCTATGGCTTGTTCTCTTAGGTGTGTTGCTGTGCCATGTGAACATAGCCCAAGTCACCCACCCTGAAAACGTATAGTAGCTGTTACCCATGGTGGTGGTTGTGTTGTCCACACCCAAATGATACAAACCCCATGGGTGAACCCCAGTGGAGAGTAAATTGCTTGGTGGGGAATAACAAAAATTCACCTGCCACTCTTAGAAGAGGCTCTGGCATGACCAATGCTGACAGGTGCTGCCAAGGTGCCCGAGTGGCTCTTGCAGAGCAGCTGTCAGAAGTTTTCTCCCATCCTTGGTGGCATGAAGCAGCCTGTGGCTTGAGAGCAGATCCTTCAAACTACTGGTAAAGATGGCAGGGACTTGCTCCTCCACACAGCTCCTTGGCAAGGAGGAGCAGACATCTTTGTCTCCAGCTTGAAAATAGATCTCTTAAGCCACAGGAGGGGATAATTCTGTGTCACTGTGCTGTACTCAAGTCAGCACCAGTTGTTCACCTCTCATCTCCTGCTTAAGAGGTCTGTTCTCAAGCATGGGGTGGGTATCTCTTCTTTGCTGCTGCCTTGTACTCAGTACAGTCCCATATAGTAGATTGGGCACCTCCACCACTTGCTTGGGAATAGACTTCTGAGCATGGGACAGTGGCATGACTGGAGGTCGTGAAAGCTTTCCCCTGCCCTTCCTGTTGCTCTTCAGGACATGAGGACTGTTCGTGCAGTAGCGGCAAACAACATCTATATTTCTAAATTCTTCTCCGTTCCCTTACATAAAAAGGGGTTATTCCTCATAATATGACAGGGTCAGCCTCTAGCATCAGCTGGGACAACCATGCAGGGGGCTGCTCACTGAATATTGTCCCAGGCAGGACTGGAAATTGGCACTGGTTGTGGTTGAGCCCTAATTGCACAAATGGGGACTCCCTGACAGCTCCAGCAAGCTGAAATTTGCTTGTAGTAATGTCAAAGTCTCATGGTATCCTTTGGAGGAAGGAGCCAGAGGAAGAAGGCAAAGTATCCATGATTGAGTATCCATGACGGAGCCAAGCTCAAGGAACCAAGGTTCAATTTGGATGCCAGGAAGAACTTCCTGACAGCTAGACCCCTTGGGTATGGAATGGGCTTCCACGGGAGGGTGTTCAAGGGTAGGCTAGACACGCACCTGATAGGCATGTCATAAGTGGAGCTGGCTGGAGCCGGGGGTCAGATTAGATCGCCCGGGAGGCCTCTTCTGACTTGCTCTTTTTCTATATTTCTATGATGCTCCCCATCGTTTGTCATGCTTATTATGGGTACTTGCAAAATAGCCGACCCACCATGGCTTAGAGCCAGAGTGGTTTGTTTTGTGAGGTGAACAACCCCATTGTACCTGGCTTAGAGAAAACAAGAATGTGAGAGCAGACATGCTGGATCAGACCAGTGGTCGATCCAGAGCAGCACTTCACTCACACGGTGACAAACCAGCTGCCACGGGATGCAAGGGTTCGACCCACCCAAGCTCCTCAGCCACTGGTGTACACAGGCACAGTGTCTCTGATAACGGGAGTAGCGCATGGCCAATGAGACTAGCAGCCACCGATAGCCTCCTCCTCCATGTATTTGTCCAGTCCTCTTTTAAAACCATTCAAATTGGTGGCCAGCACTGCTTCTTTACCTTGCTGTTTTTAGTGGGCCCTTCAGCCAACCTCACCTACTTTATTGAGATAAGACCCTGGATTTAAATTATACAAAGGCTATCACCATTCATGGGGCAAAACTGATTCCAGATTCCAGGTCTGAAAATTCCATTTCCCCTTGGTTACATTAAAATGGATTGAAATTATAAGTTGATGCTATGCCTAGTGCACTGTTTGCCTTAATAGAACAGATTAATAGTAGACTGGAGTATATTTTTCTGGGCTTTAAAATATTTATTTGATGCATATGTTGCTCTTGCATGGGACTTGGAGCTTCCTGTCCCAATTACTGATAAGGTGGATGCCTGGTTAAGTTTGGTAATACTGCAGTATCTGTCTCTAGACTCTTCATTGTGTTTGCTACTGGTATCCATTTTGCACAGAAATATTCTGCCATTAAGTATTTGTTTTTGCAAATCTTGTTAAGAGATCAGTTAGACTATTTATTCAGTTTGCCTTATTCCAGAGGTGAAGGGATTTATACGCAGCATGCAATTTCTGAAGCACATTCTGGTTGATTGTTAGGAAACCAAGAATCTCTTCTTTAATTTATTAAACTAGTGGTGATTCTGACAGCAGAGCAGAGTGACAGCAGGGAATCTCTAGGGAGCTGGAAACCCAGGGTAGTGACCTAACAATTCTTGAATTTTTCAGGCATGATTAAAACGCCTTATGATTTAAATAAAAGAACTGTTCAATAAAAACTGAATCATGTGGTTTTAACTTGTCTATATATACCAAACATAGCTTTGCTATTTGGGCTCTAATGCAATTCATAATATAGATATACCATGACATTTACTGTGTGCTTTTAAAAGGAAAAGTTTGTAGACAGTCAGCTCAGAAATTTTTACTTACACTCTGATCCAGTTAATTTTTTAGCCTTGACTTCTTTTCTTATTGCTACCCCAGTGTTCTATTATAAATCTATATCTCATCCTTTATAAGCATTATGTTTTAAATTATATTAATAAGAAAAGGATTACTCTCATGTGTTGTTGATTTTTGTTTGTTTCATTTATTTATTCATTCAAAATAATTTTGTGACACCTTTCTTAGCAAGACCTCCCTAGTGTTGCTTGCTAAGGAGCAAACATTGCTTATTATTTCAAAGATATAAAAACGATTAACTGAATCAGTTAAAAAGAAAGCATTTCAAATAACAGCAAAACCTCCAGTTTATAAAATAAAGTTTGGCACCTGTTCATTGAACATCCAGGTCTTTAAGACCCTTTTAAAAACAGCCAGGAAAGGTTACATGCAGTATTTGGGGTTAGAGTATTCTAGAATATTCCATAAGGATGGGCCTTGCTTTTTTTAAAACAACAAGAGGTTTTAGTTGCTCAAGCTTGTCTAGAATTTGTAAGAACAGTCCTGTTAGATTAGGCCGAAGTTGTAGTTGTCCTGCATTCTGTTTCCCTCAATAGTCAACAAGAAGTTTATGGGAATTCTGCAAGCAGAACAGGAATGCAGGACAGAAATGTGCCTTCTCTGACACTTTCCTCAGCAACTGTATAAAGAGACATACCGCCTCTTATATTGGAGTCGATATATTGCCATCACGAGTAGCAGCCATCAGCAGGATTAACCTCCATGAGGTTTTCTGGTCATTTTGACAACTGGCTAAGTTGGTGACCATCAGTACGTTTCCATACTGGAATAAAGCGAAATTTCCCATTAGCAGAAAAAGGATGCAAGGGCATCGATCCAAGATGGATGGATCTGTCTGCGGTTAGGAAGGACTGATCCATGTATGCGAAGGAAGTAGTGCTAGGAAAGCATAGGTGACTCACTCTGCTAACATGTTGGGGTCTAGTTGAACGTGAAAAGGTAGTGTCCACAGAGTGATTGGGTAGACTAGGAGCAGGGGGTACTGCTTCCAAATATCTATTCAGTCATAAGGTTCACTCACTGGGTGACCTTTGTCTAATCCCCCTCTTTCAGCCGAATGTACCTAGTAAGGTTTTGAGGATATAGTGGGATGCGGAATGTGCAATGGCCCGAGGATTTGGGAGGAAGTGAAAGAAAGATGCAATAAATGTGATGTTCTCCTACACAATTGAGCAAGAAAGCTAATGGAAAGGAAGCAAAAGACACTGCTTTTGCATATCTAAAACAGCCATTTCCAAACTTAGGTTCTCATATATAACCTCATCTCTGGACATACTGGCTGGGGTTGATGGGAGCCTGGCAACATCCAGGAACTAAAATCGGGAAATGCTGATCCTAAAGCATTCTTCAGTGATGATGGAAAAATGTATTCCACACATTTGGAGGCACTCTTTGGCTCATAAAGCCATAGCAAGGCTGCTGTCCTGAAACTACTTTTTGAATGCATGTACATTGTTCCAGTTAGGTAAAGCATTCTGATGAATTATCTCGAGTTGCAGTGTACTGTTGGCTCAGGCAGAACATTTTGATGCAGCGTTCTTGCAGCTACGGAATTAGATTCTCTGGTAGGCTGTATTAAAAATACCTCCCCACTTTCATATTGTCAATTCTTTTCCAGTGGAATGAGGGTTCTGTAATGTACTTCACGTTACATAATCCAGCTGAGTTAAAAAAAACAAAACACTGCCTTTGAGTTCCTTGATCTCATGTTTCTGACTTCTTGCAAATGATGGAAATGCTGAGAAATCCATTCCGCATTGCTGTTGTAGGTTTTTTCCCCCACTGCTACTGCTATTTAATCCAAGGGCTTTTGTTTAAATGGGGTTAAGAGGAGAATCAAGCAAACTTTCCAGGTTTCATATTTTAGACAGCGAGAAGCACATTTGTGACCGCTGCCCCTTCTCAATGTGTGTTTTCACTGAATGCTCTGCTGCTGCTGCTGTGTGAAGGAAGCAACAGCTGGACTGATTCATCAGCAAACACAGCTACCACTTCACAGTAATTATTTCTGTGTGCACAGAAGCTGAAAACACATCGGGGCACTGGGGCACTCAAATGAATCCTTTCCCTGTGAAGCGTTTTAAAAAAATCTGAACAAGCTTGGAGAGCAGGTTGTGTACATCTGACAAAATTACAGGTAGCTGAATTTGTACATTAGAGATTAAAGTGATGGTAGCAGTGCCTTTATATATAGCTTGGCTG